GATCCTGGATACCTGTTATTCACAACTAATGATCTCCTATAAAATTTCAGATGCCCAGGCTCAACCCTAAGCCAATTAAGTAAACATCAGGATTGTTATATAGTAACAAATGACCAGGTATTTTAAATCTCTCCAGGTCATTCAATGGAGCTAGAATTGAAAACAACTGTCTTTTGAGATCCTTGTGAGAGGAAGCAGTTCTGAGACTAGTTCTGCCTTTCCACTCTCCACCCCCCAGTAAGACCCCCCCATGCATTGTGCAACCAAGCTGGAGAGAGAGAGAGAGAGAGAGAGAGAGAGAGAGAGAGAGAGAGAGAAGAAGAAGAAGAAGAAGAAGAAGAAGAAGAAGAAGAAGAAGAAGAAGAAAAAGGGAGGGAGGGAGGGAGGGAGGAAGGACGGATGGATATATTTACTGGTCAGTGGCTTTTTCAGACATTGAGGGATGCAGAATTTTTTTAAGGGGAGTTTGTAATTAGAGTGAGTGATATTAGCTTTTGATAAAAATGGGTGCATAATATACTTTTCCTGAAAGCCCTTAATTTGTATATTTAAAATGAACAAATTCTTTGTGTAAATCACAACTCAATCAAGTTGTATTTTTAAGTTCTGTGTATGCTGCAGTATTCATAATTTCATTGATTGGATAACCAGGAAACCAGTGCCCATTGCATGTCACTGGCGAGTCAGCACCTGGTTGAGTCCTTGGGGACAGATGAGTCGGTATGTGGATCCCTGATGTTGGATTGATTCCTAAACTGATATCACCCACCAAGAATACCTGAAGTTCATAGCTGAGGAACCAATAAGAAGATGTTTTAACTTACTGAAAAGGATCTAAGGGTTGAGGAGATGGCTGAGGTGGTAAAGTGTTTGCTGAGGACCTGAGTTCCATCCCAGCACCCGTGTAGAAAGCCTGTAATCCTAGCACTAGGAGACTGAGACAGGAGGTTGGAGCTGAGGGACCTTATCTCAAAAAATAAATTGGAAATTGATTGAGATAGACACCCAGCATTGACCTTTAACCTCCACATGCACAGGCACATGCATGCATGTGCACCTACCCACAGGTGCCCACACACATGCATACACACCTAAAATTATTATCTGAAATCTTTGAGGAAAAAAATGTTTGAGCTAAATTTATGGAGTTAGATTTAACCAGAAATCCTTTTTGTTGAAAATGTTCCTAAAATTAATGGATTCACTGTCCCACCCATTCTTAGAGCCAGGCTGGTCTTGAACTCATTGCACAGCTGTGGATGACTTTGATCTTTTTTTTGAGACAGGGCCTTACTATGTAGTCCTAACTGGCCTGGAACTCCCTATGTAGAGCAGGCTGGCTTTGAACTCACAGGGACGAGCCTGCTTCTGCCTTCTGAGTTTTGGGGTTTAAAGTTGTCTATCAGGGCCTGGCACTTGACCTTTCTGACTCCACCTACCAAGCACTAGGATTACTGTTGTGTGCCAGTCTGCCCAGCTTCTGTCCTAGTAATTGCAATTCAATGAACATAAAATTTTGTTTTAGTGACTCAGTATGTAGAAATGCCATGAGATCTACATAGTTAGGTATTAAATACATATTGAACATGTTATTGTATACATCTTGAGCCTTGGAAGTCTGAAATAGCCCCGAGAAAACCACTGCATTAGGAAATTGCATGCTTATTTCAAGAGGAGCCATAGCCTTGCCTTTGGGATTTTCTGAAGGGTTTGAAAATGTTCAAAATCCCTAAACAAAACAAAACAAAACACTTTTATACCTATAGAAATCTGTTACTGCCCTACAATAAGCAGTTGGGTTCTACTTGTTTATTTAAATGTCAAGGGAATTTAGGGACTGTGTTAGCACAAGCTGAAGTTGTAATGGTTAAAGTCATCATTGAGTTAGAGAAAATTGGTTTGGGATATTTGACATTCCATTTCTGGAATGTGCTCCTGCCTTTTGAGTATGACTAAGCAGATAACTGTGGGTTGGGGGTGGGGAGTGGGGGGCTGACTCCAGGGTGCCTTCCCTCTGGAGAAAGGCATTTTCTCCTAACAACTACTGGGGCCTTTCCTCGTGGAGCCGCCTACTGGCTATGAAAATTATGGCCCTGTAAAGCTTGGTAGTTTCACAAACCAATAAAAAGGGGGGGGGGGCACAAGATTACCAACTCGGACCACTGTTATCACTGTGCTTTCCTGAAAGAAGGACATTTGCTTTACAGAGTAGGAAAGATACACTCTTCAGTGTAAAAGGATGATCCTTCAAGTGGGGTAACTAAACAGTGCCTTGCTTTCCCCATGTGTTTCTAGTTGGTATTCAGGAGTCAGAGCACCTTTCAGGCAAGGCTGTGGAAAGCCAGATTCACTGTGAGACATTCCGAGTTTTAAGTTAGATTGCATTCATGGCACACTGTTGTCAAAATGATGAAGTAGTTACACATGAATTAGGGAGCAGTTAGTAAACACAAATTTATTATCTTTCACACATATAACATGGGGGGAGGTCTGGAGCGATGGCTCAGCGGTTAAGAGCACTGGCTGTTCTTCCAGAAATATCAATTTATTATCTTTTACATATATAACATGGGGGGGTTGGAGAGATGGCTCAGTGGTTAAGAGCACTGTTCTTCTAGAGGTACCTGGGTTTAATTCCCAGCCCCCACATGGTATCTTACAACCGGCTATAACTTAGTCCCATGGGATCCAATGCCTTCTTCTTCTGGTGTGCAGACATTCATGTAGACAAAATACCCATATACACAAAATAAATAAATCTTAAAAAAAAAACAGCGCGCGCGCGCACACACACACACACACACACACACACACACGCATGCACGCACGCACACACACTGTTGAAGGAAGGGAATGTACACATGCAGTGGTCTCTCCTATCTATGGTATGCTCTGACTCTACAGTTTGTTTTTTTTTTTTTTTTTTTTTTTTTTGGTTTTTCGAGACAGGGTTTCTCTGTGTAGCTTTGCGCCTCTCCTGGAACTCACTTGGTAGTCCAGGCTGGCCTCGAACTCACGGAGATCCGCCTGGCTCTGCCTCCCGAGTGCTGGGATTAAAGGCGTGCGCCACCACCGCCCGGCCAGTTTGGTTTTTTTATTCTAAGCTGATGAATTTTTTATTATACTTTTTATTATAAGTACATCCTGTCTCTCCCTAATGAGCCTGAATTTCTGAATGTAAGCACTGTGTCTTCCCAGGCTTTCTATCTCTTATGTGCCGAGCACACAGGGGCCCGGATACATTCATGTTGGGTCACCGCAGGGCAGCTGTGCCATGAGACTGTAATTGCTTCATTCCTTGTCAACTGAAATGTGTACTGTAAAGTTTATAGAACTTTTTTTCCCCCTTAACTAGATAAATGTGGAGATGTCATTAATAACCATGTGTTCACTTCTTAGACACGAAGGAAATGATCCAGAATACTAGATGAACAAATTATAAATGGATGAAGTTTTGCACCACTGTCTCAGCATCAGATAGTATCCATTGCTTGTGGGAGATGGCCTACTCTTAGGTCAGAAATGGGGGACTCCAATGGGATATGAACACACTCTTTGGCCCTTTCTTTTTCCTCCCCTCTAAAAGCAAAACATACCTCCAAGGTGGTTACAGATTCCCTACAAGACACGTGGCACCCCTCACCTGAGGTTTTCCAAACGTTTCTTAGAAAACACTCATATTTCGTTTTATGGTATTAATAAACTCAGGTCGTTTGGTATGAGTTAGCCCAAGCTGAGATAATTAGTTAAAGTTAGCATTGGTTTTAGACACACACAGATGACATTTGGAGATGGGAATCAGTTGTTAGTTTCCCTGTAGATTTATTCTGCAGCTTCAGAACGAGCAGAGGTTAGAAGACTCTTTTTTTTTTAAAAAAAAAAAAAAAGATGGTTCTCATTATGTAGCCCAGGCTCCCTCACAGAGCTCCCTCTGCCTCCAGAGTGCTGGGATTAAAAGCCCCATGGGAAGTTGAATCCTTGCTGTCAAATTACTTAGTTATCTGAGCTTATGCTTCATTTATATGAGAGGTAATATATATTCTCTACCCACCTGAGGATTTAACCAAGTAATATTATGCATGAAAATATTCTATGAAATAACACACAAAAGTCTGGCATATGGTTTTAACAATAAACATTTCCTATCTTGGATCCATGAAAGGTCTCTTTGGGGCTGGCAAGATGGTATAATGGGTAAAAGTCTTTGCTGTGCAAGCCTGATGATCTGAGTTCGATCCCTTGAGCCCACAGTGTAAAGAGAAAGCTACTGTCTCCTCAAATTTGCCCCCTGACCTCCACACACATGCATCCTTACCAATGCACACAATAGGTAATAAAATAAAATCAATCTCTCTCTCCTCTCTCTCTGTCTCTCTCTCTCTGTCTCTCTCTCTCTCTCTCTCTCTCTCTCTCTCTCTCTCTCTCTCTCTCTCTCTCTCTCTCTCTCTCACACACACACACACACACACCCCTTAATCCGACAGTGAAAGAAACTCATTATTTATTAGGTTAGTTTTATTCTGTTAGGGTCCAGTTAGAACATGCCATTACGAATACTATGTGAATAAGGTCCAAACATGTTAACACAAGGGTTGCCCATTAATAGATATAAAATTTGTGGCTTAATGAGAGGCCACTGGTGATGTTTTTAGGTTCTAAGGTATTTATGTACTTCTTCACACTCTGATTTAGAGAGATCTGAACTTGTTCTATTTTTTAAAAAAGCAGGTAAGTGACAATTTCTTTGTGTTTTATTTTTAACTTGAGAAGGCCTCCTCATGATGATGATGATGCTGGAAGATTTTGCAGTTCTTACATGAGAGCTGCTGTGGTATATATTGAACAGCTCGGGGTTGATGGGGATCCCTGGCTTTCTCAGTGGGTCTCCTAACACTTTTTATCCTTAGGTAATGCGTATATGAGGGGAAGGCAAGTTGGTAATTTCGCCCTTAATTGAGAAATGGAATGAGTTCTGGTTTCATTGCTTATGGTTCCTTTAGTTGCTGATTCCCTGGATGGTCCAGGAATGTGAGGCTGGCTTTGTACTACCTGGCTGCCTAGGACTGTCTGAGAGCATAATTACACTTCCTAACCTGAAAGGCCTGAAGTGAGACGGGTAATAGATGTAAAGTCGGTGAGTTTTCTCCAGTCATCTAAGTTAGACATTAAACTCACTAAGCCATGCTGAAGAGCAGTGAAAGAGCCAAAGAACATCCCAGATAGGCACATGACTCCTCCACCCTGTCCCTGTCGCCACTTCCCAGCTAACAGCAGCAGCTGCCGGGACAACAGACCTTTCTGAAATCCCTCACACCCGTCCAATAACACATGCCTTCCCTGGCGTTCTAATCCTGCCTTTGCTTGTTCTCATGCAGCACTGGACAAATTAATGGTCTTGTTTTCTGTCTCATCTGCAGATGCCCATTGTAATAGCACCTACAGCATTATCGGGGCAGTTCTCTGGATTTGGTTAACATGTAAAATATCAGACAGAGATGAAACCTGTACTATATAAAATTTAAGCAATATTAATATTAGTATTTTTCTTCTACAATTTAGTTTATGGATCTATTCAGAGTCATTGAATATGACCTATTGCTAGGATAGAGAGTTGAATTTTCCTAACTCCAAAACTTTTATTTAGTAAAAAACAAAAAACTGGAAAAAAGCCCACATGTTTTGAAACATTCTACTAGCGCCTGTAAAATCCATTAACTTCTAAAATGATCTGCATTTGGTGTTAACGTGAATGAAATTGCGCAGTGGGGACAGAATGTATTAGTATTTTTCATTCAGAGCCAGCAGTGACTCTGATGCAGTCTGACTTGTGTGAGTGAGCAAGTTATTACAAATATAAACATTAGTCACTTAAATAAAAGGTAACTTGACAGTTCCCCTCCCCACCGCCAGGTCATCATGGTCTTCCTAGCCAATGGATGGAAGAGAGAACATAAGTAGACACATTATGTATTTGAGACCATAAACATGACTAAACCCTTTTACATAGGGAAGCTATGTTATGGAATATGGGGTGAATGGTAGGTGTCTGTGGTATTTAATTAATCCTTTGCTAGGTTTTTGCTGTTTGGTTTTTCTCTTTTCCTTTTTCTTTTTCTTATTTTATTTTATTGGAGACAGGGTCTCACTATATAGCCCTGGTTGGCCTTGGAACTCACTCCATAGACCCGGCTGGCCTCATACTCACAGAGATCCACCTGCCTCTGCCTCCTGAGTGCTGAGGTTAAGGTGTGTGCCACCATGCCCGGCTCTTCACTAGATTTGGATGCCTGTTGTTCAAGTCATGGCATTAATTTTATTGTTGGCTGTTTTATCTTAGTTGCCTTTAAAAATCTGTAGTTAATCAGGTATATCGGATAACTCAGACTCAACCCCTAAATGACTGTTCAGTTTTGGTTGCATTGCATGGAAATTTGTTTTTATGGATCTTTTTAAAAGCTATCTCTTGGTATCAAGGTCCTTTCCTCTGCTTCTGGTGTCGTTTCTGATTTGCCGCCTGATTTGTTGAGCTCATGCTTGCTAGAGCTGTTTTTGACAATCTGAGTGAAATTCCTTCTTTGCTGTAAGCCCTGCTACATATAGGCGGTTCCATAGTCCAGCAGCATCCACACCGTTTTTGTTTGTTTGTTTTCGTTTTGTTGTTGTTGTTTTTTTTTTTTTTTTTTAGAAATGCAGACTCTCGAGTCTCCCTCCAGACTGGCTGAGTGAGAATCTACATTTTAAGATTCCCAGGTTATTTGTGTGAACTTGCGAAGCCCCATTTAGCTGCTTACCTTTGTGTTAATTTCTCTATTTAGAGATCTTCTCTAGCTTACAAATTGTGCTTGCTGTGTTCTGGGTCATATAGCATGTCAAAATATTTTGCCTTTAGAGATGTAGGACATAATTACAGTGTCTAGAAATGTTTTAATGTTTGTTAATAGGTTTAATTGGGGAAATTTTTCTTTTCTCTCTGCTAGGACATTCCTGGAGATCTTAGAAGCACTTCTACCATGGAATCCATCTCTATGATGGGAAGCCCCAAGAGCCTGGAGACTTTTTTGCCTAACGGCATAAATGGTATCAAAGATGCAAGGAAAGTCACTGTGGGCGTGATAGGAAGTGGGGATTTTGCCAAGTCTCTGAGCATTCGGCTTATTAGATGTGGCTATCATGTGGTCATAGGAAGCAGAAATCCCAAGTTTGCATCTGAATTTTTTCCTCATGTGGTAGATGTCACCCACCATGAAGATGCTTTAACAAAAACAAATATAATATTCGTGGCTATCCATAGAGAACATTACACCTCCCTGTGGGACCTGAGACATCTGCTTGTGGGCAAAATCCTGATTGATGTGAGCAACAACATGAAGGTAAACCAGTACCCAGAATCCAACGCAGAGTATCTGGCTTCGCTATTCCCGGATTCCTTGATTGTCAAAGGATTTAACGTTATCTCAGCTTGGGCACTTCAGTTAGGCCCCAAGGATGCCAGCCGCCAGGTATGCATGGCCTTAAATTTTATTATATGTCTGGTAATTTGTAGTCAAGTAAACCAGGTTCGAATGCACTTAAATGATTATTTGAAAACTATGTAAGGTCACGTGACGACTACATTCCAACCTTGTAAAAGCATGTTTCTCTTAAAAAAAAAAAAAAAATGATGTGGAAACTTGATAAAATGACGGATTTGTCTGTAATAACCAGTTAATTAAAGAAAGGGTGATGTTAGCTGATGTCTCACATGACCCGTTACATTAATCCTCCAGAATTTTTAAAAGATGTAACATGTTTTTATTTTCCCCCTCTTTCTGCCCCCCCCCCCCCCTCTGCCTTTGTTATTTGGTAATACAGTATTCCCTCTCTGGATGAAATAGGACTTCGTAGAACTCATAAGAATCCTAAAGAATAACCTTTATGTTTTTCATAGATTAAGTTCTTACGGCATATGAAAAGTAAAGTCTGTTCTAAGCACGGAGTTCAGGCCATGGGGCAGGTAGGCAGAGGTAGCAGAAATCCTCTGAGGTTTCTCAGATTCACTCTCAGAGTACAAGGCTCGGGATCACACTAGGGGTCACTCTTCACGTAGTCCACTTTGTGAATGAAGTGGATGGCAGGTTCTGTTAATGCTTCTGGAATGAGAACATCTATAAGAAAACACAGAAGGAGGCCACTTTAGAGGCCCTTCAGAGGTGTGCGTAGGTATGAAATCTGAGGGCTGTGGTAAAGGGACCTTCTCATTTCTGCTCACAGAGACAGTTAATTATGGGGCTGGAGAGATGGCTGAGCTGTGAAGAGCAGATACTCTCCTTGCAGAGGGCAGGAATTTGGTCCTCAGCAGCCGCACTGGGTGGCTCACAACTGCTTGTAGCTCCAACTCCAGGCCTCTGAGGGCACCTGCCCTCATGTGCACAAGCTCACGTACAATAAGTCTTTTAAAAAGACAGCTAATTAGTCCATTTATTACAGAGTGCACTATCATTTTATTCTATGTGTCAGGGTCTTTGAGGACTTGCCATCACTGGGACACAAGTGCCTGGACTTGAGGGAAAAAGATTGACTTTGCTCACGGTTCCAGCGGGTACGGTCCATCATGATAGGGAAGATGATGGAGGAGACCGCTCATGTCATAGGGGCAGACAGCAGAGAAAGAGCGGACCTCCATCCTGCTGGCTTTCTCCTTTCTCTTTATTTATTCATCCAGGACCCCAGCCCACGGGACGGTTAGCCCACCTTCACTGTGAATCTCTTCCTTCCTGCACTGCAGATGCCCTCAGACACATCCCGAAGTGTGCCCAGCCTTCCCGTAGGTGGTTTCACATTCAAGCACATTGACAAGATTGGCGGACACAGGAACCACTCACTCCAAGTCTGCCCCTGTCTCTCCTTGCGCCCTTCTTGCTTTCAGTTTTTTGAGACAGTCTCACACTTGAGTCCACACTGGCCTCAACCTTGCGGCAGTCTCCCAACAACCGGGATTACAGTCATAAGCCACCTCACATAGCTCAAGTTTTACACCAGTGCATGCCTTCTCCACCTCTGTGTTAGAGACCAGACCAGGGCAAGCCAGGCAGGCGCCTGATCATGAGCCGCACTCCAGCGGTGAGAGACAGTTCTTCCTTTCTTTTTTAAGAAAACATGTCCCATAAAATTGGCAAATTTGAGCCAGGGCCTATGAGACAAAGTTGACATAATCCTTTGCTCATATTCATGATCATTTTAATTTTTAATGGAAAAAACCCTTCATGGAACAGTGATTAAATTCAAATTCAAAATGAGCTACAAGCTCCATCATGACAAGAGCCATATAATTGGTACTTCATCATGCTTGAATGATGAACATTCATCAGTTTTGAATGTTTCACTTATAGTTCTAGATTTATTATATGTTATCATTTATAGGCTTTTCTCCATATACAAAAAAGGGTTTATTGTAATATGTTATCATTTATAGGCATTTCTCCATATAAGAAAAAAGGGTCTATTATAATGTTATAATTTATACATTTTTCTCCAAATAAGAAAAAAGAATTTGCTCCACCATTTCACACCTGCAGTAAATTAATACCAATGCTTTCCTTATTTCTTTGCTACAAAAGGATTACTATTTTAGAAATCCATATTTGTTTAATAGCATAGAGTTTATGATTCATAAAGCTGGCTGCCATCAGCTGAGAGTCAAAACCTGAAAGCTGAGCTCTGTATTGTCCCGTTCCTGTAAACAAGTTTAGCATGCCAACACTGCAGTGTGGCCTCTTTCAGGGCCTGTGCACAAACGTCTTCAGGGATATATTTGGAAATTTGTTTTCCTCAAACATCACTAGAGACTTTGTACCAATATTTTTCTAGCCCTGAATGAGATGATCTTCCTATTCATAGTAGTAGCTCACCCCAGCAGTGAGCTGGAAGTTCAACAGATACTTGTTAAATTTTCGACTATATTATAGTATCAAAGGGTTTTAAAGCCTCCTCACCCTACCTATGCCATCATTGGAGTTCCTAT